GAATCCTGCCCTCTTGCTAGCTGAACCAGCCTAACCCATTGTACCTGGGGAGAAATCCACCCCTGCCTCCCACACTAGAGTTGGAGCCACTTGTAAGCTACCTCCATTTAGGAGAGAGGCCCCATCCTCACTGCAGGAGTGGGAGGTGGAAACTGTGGTTTATACAACTGTTGCCAGCCCACATCAGTTACTAAAACTACATAATCTAGATGTCAACATTTACATGTGAGCAGATGACACAGAACCACAGAACCGATAAAGAGAATCAGCAGCCAAAATGGGGACCAAATTGATTCTTGGCCCAAACTTAAAAAAAGGGTAATACAGGAAACATAAAACATCTAAAAATTGGTTTTTTGTTTTTGTTTTTTTTAAATATATCTTTATTGACATCAGAGAGAGGAAGAGAGAGAGAGATAGAAACATCAATGATGAGAGTCATTGACCGGCTGCCTCCTGCACACCCCCGACTGGGGATGAAGCCCACAACCCGGGCATGTGCCCTGACCAGGAATTGAACCTTGATCTCCTGGATCCTAGGTTAACCGCTGAGCCATGTCGGGCTGGACAGTTTTTCTTTTTTTTAAATCCTCCCCTGAGGCTATTTTTTTCCATTGATTTTTAGAGGAAATGGGGGAGGGAGAAAGGGTGAGAAACATATTGATGTGGAGAGACACATGGATTGGTTGCCTCCTGCCCAAGCCCCAATTGGGGAGGGGATCAAACCTGCAATCCAGATATGTGCCCCTGACAATCCAGGTACATGCCCTTGACCAGGAATCAAACCTGCACTGGGTCTGCAGGCCAGCGCTCTAACCACTGCGCCACACTGGCCAGGGCCTAAGTTTGTTTTTCAGGGAGATTAAAGAACATACTGCATAGAACAGGCTGACAAGAAAAAGCATACTGAGAACATGAACCTTTTTGGCAATAAAAAAAATATGACTGTTAAGACAAACACAAAACAAAACTCATCATAGGTAGTAAATAGTAGAAAGTGGGCTCCTAAAAAAAAACCAAAAAACAACAACAGTTGGTAAATTAGAAAATCAATTCAAGGAACTCTCTGAAAATCTGGAAGAAAAAAAGCAAAGTAACACAATTAATGAAAAAAAAGGATAAAAGATGTAAGAGATGGATTTGGAGTTCCAGTATCATAGTTGAAAAAGAAAAAAATAAGCAAATGAAGGGAAATCAATATATAAAAAAGCAGAAGACAACATCTTTGAGCTGAAGAAAGACTTGAATTTTCCGGTGAACAATGTCATAGAGGAGCATTGAAAAAAACACACAAAACTCTATCTTATATAGCTTGATCAATCATTTTAAGAAAGAAAATAATTATGTGAAATCCTTCGCAAACAAAAATTGATTAACCACAAAGAAAAAATAATTAGACAATAACTGAATTTCTCATTTGCAACACTAGGAGCCAGAAAAGCGATGTTTATATATTCCAAGATGAAGGGACTGTGATGGTGACCCCAGAGTTTTACACCAGCTAAACTTTCCTTTATGTGACAGCAAAAGAATATGCAAGTTAAGACCCTTAAGGCCTCAGAAAGTAAATTTTTTGAAAAACAAACAAACATAAAATTACTTGAAGTAGTCCAGCCAAATGGGAAATTAATCACATTAAGTAATTCAAGAAAGGGAAAGACATGCTGTAGAAAAAATTACTGCGAGCAATGAAAGCAATTGAAATCTAAGATATGGATAACAAGCACGGTATAATGTGATTATGACAATAACTGTTAAGAAAAGATGCTTAGAAAAGAAGCATTAAAATTTTGGTAATAATCTAGAACTAAAATTTCATGTTATTGCAACTAAATCTGGGTATAGAGAAAAAAAGAGGGGAGAAGAAAAAGTATGCTAAAAGCTTTATCTTTAATCTGGAAGAATAGTGATGATCTACTCATGAAAAATGTACAGACACACACACAAACATGTTCTAATATGTTTGCTGAGAATTTAAATGAGTAAAAAGATATGCATGAGATATAATATATGTATATATACAGATGTGTGTGTGCTGTATAAAGGATACACATTTTTTAAGTACTAGGAATATAATAGTTCAAGGAATATGCTAGGCCCCAAAGAAAACCTCCTATAGTCTCAGATATTAAGTGATTGGACTGTAGAAATTAACATCAAAGATAGAAAGCAAACATTACAAGTCACTTGAAAAGAAAACATTAATATCAATATGGAATATAAGACCAAAAGCTAGTTACTTTGAAAAGATCACTGAAGTAATCACAAATATATATTAGAAATAAGAAAGGAGATGTAGTTAACGGTATAGAAGAGATTTTCAAATTGTGAAAGATAACTCAGTATGAACTGGAAAATGTTCCAGAAGATCTTTCAAGATCCAAAGCAGATCAATATCATAGAGAAATAATCCCTTCAGAAAAGGCACCAGTCTCAGTTTTTCAAGAAACTTCTATAAGCCTCAATTGCTTATATCCTTTAAATTGTTATAGAGCAGAAAAGGATAAAAATAGTAAGGTTTTAACATTTATTGTTAACATGTGCCAAGCATTATGCTAAGTAATTTATATACATTATCACGTTCAAAAGAGGAAAGCTTACAAATTCAATGAAAGAGATTAGTATAAAATAGGTAAGAAAACTTGACAAAGAAATCACACATATTCATAAAAATTGATCACATCTATAAGTATAGGTAATAGCCTAAATAAAATGTTATAAATGGAACCTAGTTATGAATTAAAATAGTATATCATGACCAAATAGAGATTTCCTCCTGGTAACTAAAAAATGGTTCAACATTAAGAAACCTATTAATATAATTTATCATACTAAAAGGTAAAAGGAAAGTTTAATAGAGTCCAAAAGAACACTCAGTCCTGAGTGTTTAACAAATATTTTTATTTGTTAAAAATAAAACAAGATAACAAAATTCTTGGTAAACAAGAAATGGGAAAGCAACTTTCTCAACGTGAGTTTTGGAAAGCTACCTAAGGAAGTCAATACTAAAAAAGAAAACTTTTCATGAATGATAGGAAAAAGGCAGAGTTGCTTTTTCTAACTACTATTATTCAGTACTGTTCTGGCCAATGAAACAAAGCCATAAAGTAATGTGTGTAAATACTGAAAGAAAAAAGTTTTTATTATTTGCAGATATGATTGTTAACCTAGAAAATCCAAAAGAATAAATTTAAAAACTTATAAGAATAAAAGAGTTCGATATAATTGGCTAGACATAATTAATACACATAAATTAAGAGCATTAGTGAATGCTAATGATAACCAATTAGAAATTATAATGGAAAAAGTTCCATTCTCAATATTATTAAATATTCTAAATTTAACTACAATTGAAAAGTTCAAGACATACGTAAATAAAACTATAAAACCCAAAAGATATAACCAGAGATGAGGAGGCCAATTCTCCCCAGATTTACTGCAATTTCAATCAAAATCCCAATGAATATGTAAGTTCTGAAACTGTGTAAGAGCAAAAGAAAGCAAATTATTTTTGAAATATGGGAACTTTCCCTATAAAACATAAAGCTTCAGAGCTGCTTATAGCAGTAAGGATTAGCATAGGAATAGTGAAATCTATGGCACAGAACAGAGATTTACAAACATATCCATAACTACATAGGCATTTAGTACATGATAAAAAGGGCATTTCAGATTGGGGCAAGAGCAGACTATTAAAATCATTCAATGAAAGTTAAGAGAACTGGCTTTCCATATGGAGAGAAAAAAGTGAAAGGTTTCTACCTTATATATACCACACACGAAAATAAATGCCATTTGAATTAAAGATTTAATTATATAAACAAAACCATGAAATTATTAAAATAGAATATAAGAAAATATTTTTAACATTGGCATGGGAAAAAAAATCTTTCCTAGGGTGGTCAAGCCAGAAACTATAGAGGGAGATTGATGGGTTGGATTACATAAAACTAAAAACTTAAACACCGATACCTCATGTTGTATGAAGTACTGTGTTTGCACTGTAACAGGCTCTTACAGTTAAAGAGATTAATTCCTCTAAGGGGAAAAAAAGGCAAAGGACCCAAATAGGCAGTTCACAAATGAAGAAAAAATGGTAAACATATGAAAAGCTGCTTAAAAATAAGCAAAGAAATCCAAATTCAAATGATAATATCCACTGTTGAGGGCCGGGGAGCAGGGGGAGGGAGGGAGGCAGTGGGAAGTGCAGGTGGTAAGCCTTCTAGCAGGAAGCGAGCCACACTCAGTTCAGTAGGAATGCAGTTCTCAGTGGGTCCCCTATCCTTCACTTTAAAATTATGTCCCCAAGACAAGCACACAATACACAAGCAATCTACTGGGGGAGGGTGTCCCAAAATTCACACAGGTATGCTACCTTTTCGGCCAAAAGGGATAAAAATAAGACCTCAAAAGACTATATACTCCCTATCTATGTATGTATTCACAAAGAAACTCTGGAAACATTTAAAACTAGTGATAATGATTACCTGGATGGGGGAGGAAGAAGTGGTGGGAATTAGGAAGATTATAAAGAGAAACAGAGACTTTGCCCTCTCTCTATAAGTTTTGTTTGTAATTTTTGAATCATAAATGTATTATTTATAAAAAGAAGAAAAGAAGAATTAAAATCTTGTGCTGTTTAATAAAAATAATGATAACTGGAATTGATTGTTTTTTCCACACATACATTCCCAGAGAGCAGTGTTAGGTTTTGACTTTTCATACAGAAACTGCCTGCATCTGTCTCATCCTAGAACCAGCTATAGGGTGCAAAGTCGATTCTGCAGTATTATTTACTACAGGGGGAAACTGGAAACTACTACCGTCCACTAGCATGGCACAGCACAAACTGTGGTCGCTGCTACAGATGCTGCTTGTCTGATCACACCTGGAGTTGCAAGACCCTAGAAGCTCCCTGCCCACTTTCTCAGCTTTGTGACTCTGCTCCCCAGTCACCCCCTACCTGGCTCTTGGATGCGCCACCCCACCCGCTGGCTCACCTAGTCAGTGTAGGGTTGCGGTGGTTGGGGTTGGAGCAGAAGATGTTGTTGGTCTTGCGCGTGCCCTCTAGGAACTGACACATCGACTGGTTACGGAGCTCTGCCAGGGGCCGGGCCTCGTGCTTGAGGAACCACTGGTGCGCCTCGAAGCACTTGGCGCAGAGGAGCTGCTCGCACTCGAAGCACCAGAAGTCTGCCGGCTCTTTGCAGCGGGTGCAAGCGGCCTGCGAGTCCACGATCTGCCGGTACACCGACAGGCGCCGCTGCAGACTCTCGAAGAAGACGTTATCCAGGACCCCAGCGTTAACGCCAGGGGAAAGGGGCGCCTGGCAGATGCGGCACAGCATGTCTGGGGCCTCCAGGCATCCTGAGCACAGCGTGTGCAGGCAGAGCAGCAGCTTGGGGCACTTGGCTTCTGCCTGGCAGCCCTGGCAGCGCAGGAACTGGAACTCCTCCTCTGTGGCTTGCTGGGGGACCAGAAGAGAGGAGTGAGATCTTAAGTTCCAGGAGTCACCCCTGCCCACCCCCATAGGTCACCTGTCCCAATAGCTGGAGGCTGGAATGCAACTTCATAGGACATTCCAGGCAGTCACTGGACGATGCAAACCCAGGCTTATCAGTATTCCAGTTTCCCATTTTCTCAGGCCTTCCCACTGTAACTCCACAATTTACTGAGCATCTACCTCCCATTAGACACAGTACTGGGCCCTGAGATACAAGGATATATAGGATACATCCATCCCTACTATCACTGAACCCAGTTTAGAAAGGAGATACATTAGGTATCAACCTTATATAAAGTTTAGTGGTTTCTCAAAAAGGTAAGCATAGAACTACCGTAAGATCTGGCAATTCCACTCCTAGATAAATATCCAAAAGAACTGAAACCACTGACCCAAACAGATAAGTATATACCCACATTCATAGCAGTACACTATTCACAACAGCCAAAGGTGGAACCAGCCCAAGTGACCATTAAAGGATTAACAAAATGTGGTATATACAATGAAATATTGTTCAGCCTTTAAGTGGAAGGACATTCTGCTAAATGGACTAAGCCAGACATAAAAGGTCAAATGTATGATCCCACTTATATGAAATATCTACAGCAGGCAAATGCACAGGGACAAAATAGATAAGAGATTACCAGGGGCTGGAAGAAGGAGCTATTGCTTGAAAGGTACAGAGTTTCTTTTTGAGGTGATGAAAAAATTCTGGAACTAGATGGTGGTGAGGGTTACACAACATTGTGAATGTACTTAATGCCACTAAATAGTACACTTAGAAATGGCTATAATGGCAAATCTTGTGTATATTTTACCACAATTTTTAAAAATACAAAAAAGTGCTTAATACAGTACATGGCACATGAGAAGTGCTCATAAATGTTAACTACTGTTAAGCAATATTATTCCTAGTTGTAATTATGCAAATAATACAAATTACTGCAACTGGTGTTACTTGTGCTTTCAAAAGGGCCTCAAGGAACATAGAGCAAGTGATCTAAGTAGCTCCTTTTGGGGGTGGGAGGTTAGGGATTTGTTCAGAAGACCGAGGCAAAGCTTCTCGGTGGAAAACCTAATAACCCGCCTTGGGAATGGGGGTTGGGCGGGCAGGGTGTCCCAGGAGAAGTATCTGGAAGACTTCCGGGAGAAGAAACCACAGGAGCTGCTGATTCACCTCTCTCGTCCGGGCCAGTTTCCCATTCGGATCTGGTAGTTGGGTTTTGTTTTTTCCAACGTGAGCCTCTCCCCGCAAGTCGTGCTCTAGGCAGGGGCAACTGGGCTACTACTCTGGGGTCTTCGTCAGAGCAGGGGCAAAGAGGCATGTCGCCAGGGCGCGGTTTGGAGAGTCCGGTTCACTGCTGCGTGGGAAACAGCAGCCCAGGAAGTCTCCCCCTAACTCACCCTGGTCATCTTTTTCATCTTTTCTACTCTCCCCTACTCCTACTCGAGCCAAGAGGGTCAGGACCCTAGGGTCTGGTCTTCCCTTTGTGTGCTTGGCCAAGTTCCCTCTCCTTTCTCACCTCTCCTCCCATCGCAGCAAATTAACAAAGCCTAAACCCCATCTCCCCAAACTCAGTGGTACCTCTGTGGGGCTGTGGTCCGGGCTGGGCTCCTGGCTTTCGGAGAGAGACTCCGGGGGAGGCATGGTGGGCACGTGGGGCAGTGCAGAGTCCCCCGAAGACGGAGCGGGTGCAGGCCCCTGCTGCATGGACCCCAGCGCAGTTTCCATTCTCAGTTTTTATCTTGCGGGGCGGGAGGAGCTGAACTGGAACCCTGCGCCAGACGGCAGAGTTTCCGGAGCTCGGTCGGAAAGGGGAGTGCCAGCTCAGGGCCAGCCTTCCCAGAGGAAGTGAAACAGGCGCTGGGGCGGTTCTAGGGGCGGAGAGGGGGACTGTGGATTTTGAAGACACGCCCAGAGCAGGGAGGAGGCAGAGGGAGAACAGTAGACGCCCATCTGACCTGGGGTAATGGGAAAGTGTCAGAACTGACACCAAGGAGGGCGCACTCGCCAAGGGCTGTGAGCTGTTCATTGGCACGCAGTCGCGCAGCTTTGTACCAGCCCCAAGCTGGGAGCTGGGGGCACAGAGATGAGCCATTTATGGCCCTCGCTCTGGAAGAATCCCAGATCTAGTGGAAGGACAGGCCCCCAAACAGAGATTTTCATACAGCATTGAGACTGGCTGGAAAGGAGGTCCCTCCGCTAGGATTTGGAACAGTGGGAATTCACCAGGGATTCAAAGATTGGGAAGACACTTTAAACAGAGAGAATAGTCCGTAGAAAGGCATGGAGTTTGAAACAAGAGAGCTTGTTTAGAAACTAGTTCTGGTTATTTTCTGATTTAAGAGGGGACCCATGAACAATGTCAGCCCATGAGTGGACTGGGGCAAGATCCTAACTAAGGAGATGGACCAGTTTTGTGGACTATAGAGCCGGTTTGGAACCTAGGAACAATGTGATTTGCTGTGCATGTTAGGAAGCTCACTCTGACAACCTAGAGGCAGGTGGCCTGGTCTAGGACAGTGGCTGTGAAATGCAAGGAGGACCCGAGTTAGACAATAGGACAAGACTGAGTGCAGATGAGGAGAACAGGATGATGCTTTGGGTGACAGTTGGAAAGGCTGGTGAATTTTAGGCAATGGGGGATGGAGGAGGAAGGGGGAGAGCTAGTGACAGGGTATGAAGTGTGAGGAGAGAGAGCAAGTTACCTCTTGGCCAGCTGAGAAGCATGCCAGACCCCTAGTTGGTGAGGGGAGAAAGTACAGTTCCAGGTGGTTTCACTGTGCCAGCACCCCTGGTTTCAAACTTCAAACCATCCCAGCCACTATGCTGACCACTCTGTACCCATTCTGTGCTATTCCAGCTTGGAACTGACTAGAAGGGGTGGTTACAGGGCTTTGCTCTTGTAAAAGCTTTTAGTCTGAGGGTGTGTATGGAGAGGAAGTGGGGGAGGCCTCAGGAGCCTGCTCTACCTACCAGCCTGATCAGTACCCCTACAGCTTTAGAATTAGGCCATCAAACTAGAAAAAGCCAAAGATGGTGAGCAGCCATCTGCAGAAGGGCTATTGCTAGGGGCTGAGGGGCCTGAGAAGGCGGACTGGCTTGTGGCTGTGACAAGGAAAGATTTATTAATCTCTTTGCTCATTTGGAAGACAGCTTGCCTCAGTGCCCTATTGGAACTTCTCAGAGTAAGCTCCCTGTTTGCATTTGGGTTTTCTCAAGCCATGGAGAGACAAGTTACCTCTGGGTAACTGGATAAAGAGGTGTGCTGTTTCTGGCCCTAGCCGGTTTGGCTCAGTGGTTAGAGCATTGGCCTGCAGACTAAAGGGTCCTGGGTTCAATTTGGGCCAAGGGCACCTACCTTGGTTGCAGGCGCAATCCCAGGCCCTGGTTGGGGCTCAAGGGGGAGGCAACCAATCAGTTGTGTCTCTCTCACATGATGTTTCTCTCTCTCCCTTCCATTCCACTTTCTGAAAAGCAATGGAAAAAATATCCTTGGGTGAGGATTAAAAAAAAAAAAAAAAAAAAAAAAAGTGTGCTGTTTCTGGACCTAAGGACTGAGAATATCATCTCTGGCTGCTCTGGAGGGTCTGCCCATGATAGCTCTGTGCTAACCCCTCATTCCTCACTCTGCCGTGCTCCCTGAGGTCTGCACATGAAATTTTTCTCGTTTTGTGCCAAAGTTCAGGCCCTCCTGCCCCACCTTGACCATAGTGACCTAGTCAACAAATAAATACGGAGTATCCACTCTGTGCCAGGCCCTGCTTGCTGGGCTGTGGGCACACAAAGTGGAATAATTTGCTGAACATGCCCTAGAGAAACCGTAATTCTAGATAAGCCTCCACTCCCTTTCCGGCATACACCCCCCCCAGTATTTGAGTTTGGAGAGGGAATGGTACAATTTCCTTGCCTCTGGGTAAGATTTGGTTCCTGAAAAATCCCTCTCAAAGCCAACTTCGCCTTCTGATTCTTTTCTAAGGCGGAAAGGGAGCACGCGGGAGGAGGCGAGGAGCCCCGTGGACTCCAAGGAAGGAAGACCCCACTCCCTCCCAGCTCCGTGGCCGCAGTTCAGTCCTCCTAGCGCAGGTGGCGGTGTCCCATTGCTGGATCCCCGGCGCCTGCCTCCGCCCCTAGCCCAGGCGCCGCGGGGCGCTCTGGGGAAACCGGNGGCCGGCGGGGCCGGCGGTCAGTTCCCGCGCAGGCGGAGCACCGCGGGCTCCGTCTGTTTACGTCCTTGTCATGCAGGTGTGTGTATGGGGCGCTCCCCTCGGGGACTTTGCTTTCCCCAGGCCAGCAGCTTCCTGGCTTCGCACAGGGGCTGCCTGTTCCCAGAGCGGCCCCGCGGGGGGAGGCGGGCTGGTGAGTGGCCGCCCAGCGCCGAGGGAACCGGAGGGACTCTGTGGCATTCCCCAGGCCTGAACTCTCTGCCTCTCAGAAGTGTGGACAAAACAGGGCCACATGCTAAACCTGATAAGCTTAGAGAAGGCCTTGCAAACTCAGAGACCTAAAGTAACCACAAAGGATGGTTTGAAATTAAAACTTTTTAAACTAGAAGAAGTCTATGGGGGGTAGTTATGCCCTAAAGCAATATTTTTTCCTAACAAAGGTTAATCTTCACCTTAACTAAGCCTGTCTGTCTTTTTGCATCTGCTATAACATACCTGATTAACATGCCTTTGTAAAAACCAAGTAATTTTCCTTTTTCCAGACCCCCTCAAAGCATACGCACAACTCTACACAGACCACAAATCCCCTCTATCATTGTTATAAGGTTAATTGTGGACTGTTATCCTGCACCCACCTAAGTAGAAGTGTATGTCTATCATTTTACTTTTTATCCAATTCCAGAGATCCCCTCCCTTTGCTTTCTCCAGCCTCCCTAAGCTATCACCAATGGATTTCATGTAACCCACTTATGTCTCCTCTTTTGATTGTAATGTATAAAACTGCAAAAGTCCCATTCTCCAGAGCCTTATCTCAATCCATTGAGATTCTGCTTCCTGGATGTGTTGACAGTTTGGTTCAAATAAACTCATAAAAATTCTTCACAGGTTTGAATGTTTCTTACAATAACATAAGTCAGCTAGTCTGGCATAGTCGCACTCTAAGCAGAGGGAACGAGAGAAAACACAATGTGGAGTGGGACCTGTACTGCACTCTGAGATGCTAGCACCAACCCCCCCTTTCTAGGGCTTCGGGGCTGCAGCTCCAGAGTTCTTATCTTCCAAGGAGCCTCGGCCCACCTCATTTCTCCTTGACTATTATCAGCCCTTTAGGCCTGGGCAGAGATTTTAAGTTCCCGTTTTGACTAGAAAGAAACCAAGGTCTAGGTATACAAGGTCATCAGCACTCCAAGGGCACTTGGCTGCAGAGAATTTGCAGAATCTCCCCCCCACACACACACCTCTAGATTCCCTATTTCCTGGTGATGTGCAGGCAAAAAAGGCCCTCAGCTGCCTGTGTGTCTGCTCTGACTGTCTTGCTCCAAAGCCTTGAGTTTCACATTCCAGATCCCACTTTCTTCAGCCTGACAAACAAACCCTGGAGGATTTTGTCCCTTCCTAACCCTCCTGTAATGACAGCGGCCCCATCCAAGGGTTCCTTTTCTATAGGGGCCATGTGGATCAGAGCCAGGACCTCTTTCAGATGAGCTTCATCTTACTAATTCCCCTCTCCCCCACCTCCTACCTGAAGCTCCTCAACTGAAGCATGCATTTGAGGGTCCTTAGGGCATTAAAATGGGGCAAAGCCCTGGCTGGTTTCGCTCAGTGGTTGGAGCGTCAGCCCACGGACTCAAAGGTCCAGGGTTTGAAGTCGGCCAAGGGCACATACCTCGGTTGCAGGCTCCATCCCTGGAACCCTGGTCGGGGGTGTGTGGAAAGTCAATCAATCAATGTGTCTCTCTCACATTGCTGTTTCTCTCTCTCTCTCTCTCTCTTTCTTTCTCCCCCCCCCACCTCCACTCTCTCTGAAAAACAATGGAAAAAATATCCTCAGGTGAGTAAATAAATAAAGTGGGGTAAAGAATAGTGAGCTAGGAAAGAGCATCTTAGTCCTCACCTATGGCTCCTATTGGTGAGCTATTAATTCTTTATCCCTTTAGGCTAAAGGACTCCTTGAAAGCACACTTCTGGGGCTTTTGGTCAAGGAGGGATGTGTTTATGCCAGCAGCATTCAGTTCAACCCAACCTGTGTTTACAGATTCCCACGTAGTCCTACTCTGTGCCAAGTTAATATAACTCAGACAAGAAGATTGACACCTGCTCAGCCCAATAAGCAGTGCATCACATGGTTTTGCTTCTCAGATCCAATTGTCGTTATCCGGCAGAGAATAGCCTTGTGAGGACTGAACTTGAGACAGATTAGTTTTGCTGTGTGGGAGGAGGGAACAGTCCTTAACTAACACCTACCCAAATATATGGGAGTATTGAGAGCTGCAAGGAGGCAGACTGAGAGCTCTGAGAAGAAAGGTAGGTGGACAAAAGTTTCACTTGACCACATTCACTCTGCCTGCAGCTGTCCTGCCAGCCAGTTGGTGTCCCTTGACTGCCTTTGTTCGCTTGTCCCAGATGCACCTCAGACCTGGCTTTCCTGCTTCTGCCATGGCCTCATCAGTTTCCTGGGTTTCTTGCTGCTGCTGATCACCTTCCCCATTTCTGGCTGGTTCACCCTGAAGGCAAGGCTAACTGGGACAGCCCCAGGGTGGTTGGGCCATACTGAGAGCCTTGGCACTGATGGATGAATTTTTCATCCTCTGTCTCCTTCCCTTAAGTATTATCACACTTCTTTGAAATGGGCTGGGCCAGGATTGTTCATTCCCATCTTTCAATTGAGGAAATTGAGGCTCAGACTTACCAAAGTCATACAGGAACCAAACTCCCAAGTCCAAATATCTCTGGACAGATATTTTTGTCAAATCTTCCCGCCTTAGGTTAGGCTAAATTAGAAATGGAAAACACTAAAGTTGGCCCAGCAGATACTGAATGAAAGGAATTGAGGCCTTGTTTCCATAGAAGGTGGTACAGATGAGAAAGGGATGAATTACAGTTGAGGGTCACACCTGAAGGTGGCAGCAAAGTGGAAGCCAGGCAGGCTTTGCCCTTTGTGCAGCCCTAGACCATGGTCAATGTTCCTAGAAAGCCTTTGGGTTTGGTGTGGTCTAGAAGGAAGTCCTTAGAAAGTCCTAAATCCTAGTCCTAAAACTGCCACTGAAACAAATACTGTGACCTTGGGCAAGTCACTGTGCATCTCTGAGTCTTTGTTTCTCAATTTGGATGTATTTACTTCTTTGAAAATTCAGCACCTGAAGCTGGCAAAGTCCTTTGTTTGGGGTTGCTGGTAGAGCAGCCCAGAATTTGGCCCTAACTAATTCAAGGGCAGACAGTTTTCTGATTTAAGTCACATCTAGCTTTAGACCACAGATATGAAAAGTTTCTCTGAGGCCCGGCCGGGCGTGGCTCAGTGGTTGGGCGTCGACCTAGGATCCAGGCGATCGGGGTTCGGTTCCCGGTCAGGGCACATGCCCGGGCTGTGGGCTCGATCAATGACTCTCTCATCATTGATGTTTCTGTCTCTCTCTCTCCCTCTCCTTTCCTCTCTCTGAAATCAATAAAGATATATTTTAAAAAAAAAAAAAGTTTCTCTGAGGATCAAGTCAATACAGTGTGGTAGTTGAGAGCATGGCCTCTGGAGTTATTCAGAACTGCATTCAAATTTTGCCTATTTCACTTAGGGACTGTGTGATTCTTGAGCAAGTCACTTAACCCCTTGGAGCCTTGGTTTTCTCATGTGACAACAGAGTTTAAGGATACCTGACACTGCCCAGGGCAAGGGGGAGAGTGGTGAGGGAGGGCCCTGGGCTACCAGCCTGGGCTCACCAGACTCACCCTTCCTTTGCCATTGTGAACAGATTGTGCCCGCCTATGAGCAGATGATAGTGTTTCCACTGGGCTGGATTCTTTCCCTTCAAGGGCCTGGCATGGTTCTGCTCGTGCTCTTCATTGGCTCCTTTAAGAGGGTGGATCTGAGGACACGAGCTTTCAGTGTCGCTCCCTGCAAAGTGAGGGGCTTCTCAGCTCTCCTGGACAGAGGGAGTGGGTGCTTGTGCAGAGTTTATCCTGGGTGCCAGTACCTTGGCCTGTAAGTAGCCATCGGGGCAGGGGGAGGGGAGTAGGGAGGAGACCAGAAAATCAAGGCTGAAGGTTGGGAGCCCATCCTTGCTCCAAATACCTAACCCCATGTACTTGGGGACACCATTTTGTCCATGAGGTTCTAGTGACCAGGTGGGTGGATCAAGCCTGGTGGTCTCAGTGGGTCTGACCTCCCTGCAGCTTCAGCCCTTGAGTGTCACCTCTTTCATGGCCTCCTCCAACAGTTGGCCTCTAAGGATGGGGCTGTGCTGTCCTTGGGAGCAATGTCCAGTTTTGCATCAGGAACCTAGTATTGTCAGTGATGACTGTGAAGGACCTAAACACAGCCACATGCATGACAGCCCAGAATGCCATGACTAAATCCCTGCTCAAAAGGCCTCTGTGGGATATCCAGATGGAGAAGCCCAAATCAGTGACCAGCTCCTGGTAGACAGCTCTTCACAGGGCAGAGTTCGATGGCTGGCACCTGGGCCTGCAGGACACTTTGAGTAAAGCAACAGATCACTTTGGGTCTCAGTCTACCATGTGCCTGAAGAGTGTGACAACCTTTGAAGAACCAGTGGTGTGGGTACCACTATGAGTTGAGGAATGGAAGATGGGCACAGATCATAGCAATCTGGAGGAAACCAGTCCCTGAGAAGTGAAGGGGCTCTGACAGGGCCATGGCTTTGTTATAGGCACCTCTCACGGACACCAGAGAGGTGTTATCGGACAGCCCCCTGAGTCAGCAGGAGAGAGCTGTGCCCAACCTTGATCCTTGTCTTATCATATAAATGAATTTATATGCAAGACCTTGATTGCATTGTGAAAAAGCCAATTTATTAAAGCATTTAAAGCACGCACCTTTATTAAAGAAGCAAGGCCATCAGATCTATGCATCTGGCTTATGAGGTACAGATGGGCTCTGAGCTAATCTGAAGAGCCAGTTGGGTTGGGATCTGAGACATTATATGCCCCCCTGTCTATAGGTCTCAAAATTCCTCTGCTGAATATTTTGGTACAGATTAATTTGTACTTTTTTACTTTGTTGTGGCCTTCCCAGAATTCATGAAAGGCACCTGGCAATTTTATCTTGCCAAGCTTTGAGACTGCTGGTTTTTCTGCTTAGGGAGTAAAACTGCCCTTTTTTCTTTCCCCTTCCCCCATCCTTTCCTGCATTCTCTTGTTAGGGAGGCTTTTAACCTTTTGCTCTGAAGTATCCTTGGCTGGGGAAGATAATGGCTTGTTATTTACAAGCAGGCTACAACTTGCACACACTTTTTGGCACTATTTTAACTTTCCTTTCTCAGTTTCTCCATTCCACTTGCCCCAGGATTTTCCTAGCTCCTCTCTGTACTGTTACAGCTTGATGGGAATTCTTGGTGTCTGCCTCTGATTGCTGAGGCTTTGTCCTTCACTACTTGGTTGGCATTGGCATGACAACACTGGGCCTCAGGGGCCCTCAGTGGACCTGAGGCAGGCAGGTGGATGAAGGGAGCAGGGGCTGCCTGGCCCAGTCACCTTCTGGGGAGTTCTGTGCTCCACAGTGCTGCATGTGCACTTCTGTGTTTTGTGCTCTAAGTTCTCACAGAAGAAAGAGAAACAAAGACATATGGACCTTTTTCCTGCTTCTCCATGTGTGAGCAATTATCTACACTGGAATTCACCTCAAATCCTGTGACAAGATAGGGTAAAAATGAATACACAGGTGGCAGTGTGTCCCCTGCTCCCATATCCTAACCTGGAAATGCAGGTGAAGTTGTCCCTCATTCCTCTCAACTCTGGGGTGGGTGGAAAGGAAGGAGTAGTGGGGCATTGCCAGTCCTGGAGGTCCCAGTTCTTTCAGAAAGTAAATCAACCAACTGGGTGAAATTCCCAAGAAACCACTACTTGTAACAGTAGCAGTGCCTCTCACAAGCAGAGCATTTTATAGTATACAAAGTCCTTTTGCCCACCCCAGTGTATCTCAGATTTATATTTTGCTGCAAGAGGGCTGGTATCATTGTTTTATTTTGGAGGGAGGAAACTAAACCTCAGAAACTATTTTCCATGCCTCTGAGAGCCACGGTCAAGGGCAGAACTGAACCAGAGCTAGATCAACTGCTCCCCCCACTTCCCAACCCAGAGCTCAATCTTAAATTTTTTTTTATTGTTTTCCAATTATAGTTGATGTTCAATATTATATTAGTTTCAGGTGTACAGCATAGTGGTTAAACATTTATATAACTTACAAAGTGATCCCCCCAATAGGTCTAGTACCCACCTGGTACCATACATAGTTATCACAATATTATTGACTATATTCCCTATGCTGTACTTTACATGCCTCATGACTATTTTATAACTGCCAATTTGTACTTCCTAATCCCTTCACCTTTTTCACCCAGCCCCCCCAACCTTCTTCCCATCTGGAAACCATCAGTTCTCTGTATCTATGAGTCTATTTCTGTTTTGTTGATTCCATTCATTTCATGTTTCAGATTCCACATATCAATGAAATCACATGGTATTTGTCTTTCTCTGTCTGACTTACTTCACTTAGCATAATACCCTCTTAGTTCATCCATGTTGTCTCAAATGGTAAGATTTCATTCTTTTTTATGGCCAAGTAATATTCCATTGTATGTATGTAGCACTTCATTATCTACTTGTCTGCTGATGGATACTTAAGATGCTTCCATATTGTGGCTATTGTAAATAATGCAGCAATGAATATAGAGATGTACTGTATATAAAAGTTTGAATTAGAGTTTTGGATTTCTTTGGATAAATACCCAGAAGTGGGATTGCTGAGTTATAGAGTAGTCCTATTTTTCATTTTTTGAGGAACTTCCATACTGTTTTCCATACTGACTGTATTAGATAGGACAAGGGTCTCAAGGTTTGGTTGTTTCTTACTAAATGCCATTCTTGCTAAGTGTTAAAATGTAGCCATAAACAGAATGAGCTTGACAGGAACCTGACTGGATTAAGACAGAGTTTTGGATGTGAATCCTCTCTCATTTTCTTGCTGCAAGTAAATAAAACTACCTTAGGACAATCAATACCCACCAAGTGGTGAACCCCTAAAGTTAGGTAACAGCTGCATTCCCAGCAACACATCCTCACCAACACTTATTTGTTGATTTATTGATGATAGCCATTCTGACAGGTATGAGGTGATATCTTATTGTGGTTTTAATTTGCATTTCTCTGATGATTAGTGACTTTGAGCATCTTTTCATATGTCTACTTGTTACTGGGAAACCCCAGTTGGGTTCCGGCTGCCTATTGCTGTGTCTAATTCAACAGAGGCAGGGTTGAATCATATAAGGCATTTATTGAGAAGGCTAGCCAACCAAGAAGACAGGAAGCATGCGAGCATCCAAAACCTGTCTTGCAGCATGGTGGAAGAACAGAATGCAGCTATGTGCAGTCCTGGAGGTCCACAGACGTCAGTTATTGTTCTTGACCAATCTGGTGATGCATGGACAAAACAATATCTGAGTCTTGTCGTCAGCACACATCTCTGACTGTTCTGCGCCTCTAGATTTATGACTTTATTCTTATTGCCCTGTGGGTTTGCATCCAACTATAAACTGATCTGAATTCAAAGGGAACACCAAGGGTGTGGAAAGGACAAACTTGTAATAATATATCATCCATCATACTATGAAATAAGCACAACTAGTTATACAATCAAACTATAAATCATAATATTCAGGCTATCGCATCTCATCATTTCTCCCCTCTGATTATATAAATGATCTGATATCTGTCAGTCTCACTAATCTCTATAACTTGTTCTTAAAGCAATCATATTGTTGTAGTGCCAATATTTTTACTTCTGCCATATGGTGATTACCTCTTCTAGGTCTTATGAATTTACATGCACTAGAAAAAAGAGGCATACACTGAATACAGCAACAAGATATTAGACAAATTACAATAAAGAACAAAAAAATGAGGAAGGCTTCCTTTATGCCAGCCCAGCTGGGTAACCAAAAAGTAAGAGCAGTAAATTCCTTGGTAAAGAAGCCTTCCCTTTGGGTGACTTTGGAGAGTGTCTCACTTTTTGTAGTTTGTGCTCAATGAGTTCTGAGTTGTCTGTTAAGTTAAAGCAGCACATACCTTTGAAGTCCTCACACCCGTGATTATGTCTCAATAATAAATAATCTATGGCAGCACGGTTCTCTAATACAGCCTCCCTTACTTACCCTAATTCCTGACCCATGGCTGCTATAGCTTGAGAAGTGGAGTTAGAGGCCTTTACCATAATATAAGCAAGATTGGTTACTTCAGCATTTAGCAATCCTACCATTACTGGCTTGACAAATATGGTTGTAGAAATATATTCAGCTTGGCTAAACAAATGTACTTTACTATCACAGTTTTCATTTAGTGTGAGCTCATGGCGCACTCACTGAGGATGAGGCTTCTATGGCAACATTACAGTAAGTATCCAATTGTGTAAGGGCCTCCAGCACTATTCATAGGTACATAAGAATATACTGTTAAACCATAGAGCAAGAAATGACCAGGGGAAGGCGAACATGCCAATTTCCCTAAGATATAGAGGAATTTTCTTTTGAACAGTTCAATTGCTGTTGATTTTTCAAAGACAGATAATTTTCTGGACATCCTGTAAAATATATACACTCTCCTATGGAAGGCATCCCTGCTACTTTAATAGAAAACGTAGTATGATCCCTTTCAACAGTAACAGGGCCATCATAAGTAATTCTTTTCAGTATATTTTAAAACAGAGTATAATTCTTTAAAGTCTCTAGAGGGGTTCCAACACCTACTAGGCACCTGAGGCTTTCTACCCTGATGACCTTCTGTACCTGGCCCCTTGTCTTTGCTCTGCTCATGCCTGTCAAACTGCCTGCCACATCCCCCTCAAGGATCGTGGCTCTGAAATATTTCAGAGAAGAGGGGCACAGAGTATCTTCTTATAGCTACTTCCTGCTGAAAGGGGGTGACGTTTCTCTTCAGAGCCTAGAGACCCTTGCTTTCTGTCAGAGGGACAATGAGGCCTGGGCACAAATGAATGTGGCTGTGGTATCTAGAGGTGGTTTTCCCTGAGTATGAGTAGGGCTTGTAACCTGGTGGAGACAAACTGTGTGTGTGTTATAAATTTTAGTAGTATTGGGGCAAAGCTAGAATAATAAGAGTGACAAATGGTCTGGTGGAAGGAAAAACAACACAAAACAAAATTTCAGTTCTAATATTTCCCTATTGAAACAATTTCCCCCCCTAAAATCACCCTAATTTTATTAAAGATCCAGATTAAGACCAATCTCTTTACTGTACTATTCAGTTTCAATTTGGCCTTATTGTTTCTATGAACCCATTAAGAAAAGCACTTGACTATATATAGGCTTTTAAAAATCTGATTTGCTAGAATCTCATGGTTGAGCTTTAATTAGCCCCTCAAGGCAAAAAAGCTGAACTACCTAGTTGCC